TATATATATATATCATATTATTTAATTAAATGTTCATATATTGTACACAATAGTTTATACGTATACGAATATTTCAATATTTATAATACTATAATATATTGCAACAGATAATTAATTGTTCGAATATTTTTCTTAGGTCTGTTTTTACTTGTACTGAATATCTTGCAGTTTCGATTAAAAATGTCTGCATATTTTTAAATTTATTTCGAACATAATCATGATAGAGAGGATCTCACTATTATATAGCATATTGATAAAAGATTTCCGTAGATCGATTCACATAATAATATCATATGATACTTTCGTGAGCTGGAAGAAAGCTTTAAAAATAATAGCAATTTTGCAGCGAATGTATACTAATGTATAATAATTGAACACAAATTTTATTTACACACGTGTAGAACATCAATTTTAATCGTTCTTTTATCCTTGCTCGAAACTTTTGCTAGTAGAAAAAAATCTGCTAAAGAATACGTAGAAAAATTGTATTACAGAATTATTATTATTAAAGAGAAAAAGTGTCCTAAGATTTTTCAGTGAAAATGCACGAAGGAACAATATCGCGTAGAAAAATATACACTGGCGGACAATAGAAAGCTAAAAATTGATGTTATTTGTCGATATTTCATAATCACTATACTTGATACAACAACATTTATTTTTGAGCGCGTAACAACTCCCGATAAGATTAGATAAATAAATTTCCTTGAAAATAAAAGTTTCAGACTATAGAAGAGAAGAAAGATGGATAATTTAAAAATTACATATAATTCAATATCGATAACACGATTCAACAAATTGAATATAAAAATGGATTTTTAATTAAACGTTTTTCACCAATTCAAAAGTGTTCTCTTTGTAAAAATTCCGCGAGAACAAGTATTTTTCCTTTTTCCTTTTTTTTTTTTTTTTTTTTTTCGAATCCGAGCGAACCCAGTATATCCTCGGGAAAGTGAAAAGAGCCCTGGTGAATTTCGCCTAATCCCCTGTTCGAAATAATAGACGATCCGTCTGGAAATTACAAATTCGCGCGATGAAAGCGGCGCTTGTTGAAAGTAGGCCGTCGAAATTGCGCGAGAAAAGAGCAAACACAACGTGAAACGAGGTATCGATCGAACTCGAGATATCAAGCTGCCCGAGGATCAACGACAAACGGCAGTTTGATTAAGAAACGATCGACCTTGCGAAAGCGATGCTTCGCTCGTCCAACGTGTCGACGATTTGCGATTTTGTTTGTCGCTCGAGCGACGCAAAATCTTTCGACGAAAGTGCATGTTGCACAAAACGCACCGATCGATCACGTACGTTACGGAATTTCGACCATTATCGAACTAACATATAAACGTAATTGGCCCGCAGGGAACAAGGCTGGACAGATTTTTCAGAGGACTCGCGAGCTGCGTATCGCCGATCTCTCTTTGCAAAAATCCTACGAACAAGTTAATTGAACGAAGTATGGCGTTGACGTGATGAAGAATTCGGTGGAGAAGTGCTCGATGGAATCCCGAGGGAACTAAATTAAACGTAATGTCAGTTGAAATATACGAAGGGAAGAGAAAATTCGTTGCTTCAGAACTACCAAAATAGTCGAAAAATTGGCTTCACTTGGTATACAATTCACAATTCTCGAAACGTGACGCACGAGCAAAATTCTTTGAATCAATATATCAAGAAATCGGCAAGAAGACGATAAATCCTTCCTTTGCAGGGAAGATTCAAGAAATCACAGTACGATCGATATATCAAGAAATCGGCAAGAAGACGAGAGCCTCAAGAAGACGATAAATCCTTCCTTTGCAGGGAAGATTCAAGAAATCACAGTACGATCGATATATCAAGAAATCGGCAAGAAGACGAGAGCTTCAAGAGGCAAGAGACGATAAATCCTTCCTTTGCAGGGAAGATTCAAGAAATCACAGCGCGATCGAAATACCAAGAATATCGGCAAGGGAAGTTCCTGAAGCAAATTCTCTTCCCAAGAAGAAAGAAAGAAAAAAATGGCAAGCATCGGTAGATTGTCCGCGATGAGGATAGCGATGTCCTACGGGCCGGAATTGAGTTTCCTAGTGCTGCTGCGCATGTTGATCGGCATGTACAGACCGGACATCATCGATCGCGAGTCGAGGGTGAAACCGGTGACCTTGTCGAGTCTTCGCAGCAGCTACGATTTCGTAATAATAGGGGGTGGCTCGGCTGGTTCGGTGTTGGCTAATCGTTTGTCGGAGAACAAAAATTGGACGGTGTTGCTGTTGGAAGCTGGCGTGGACGAGCCGGACATGGCCGACGTGCCGATCGTGTTCCCGGTTCTTCAACTCACCTCGGTCGACTGGCAATTCAAGACGGAACCGTCGAATAATTATTGCAAGGCGATGAAGGCACACGCTTGCAACTGGCCACGTGGCAAGGTATTACTTTCCCTTTAAAATTTAATTCAATTTTCCTTGCTAACTTTCAGTATCGCTCGGTCAGTTTGGCATTAGACTGCGGATCTTTGAGAATGCAGTTGAAAAATGAAAACAAATGGAAAATTACTTGGTTTTCATTGAATACAGAATTTTAGTGT